TATGTGGTCAGCTGTAAATCTCCTCCAAAAGCCAGAGGGCGCTTTTATGAAGAAACTCCAGACACCCAAGAAGAAGAAACCCAGGAAAATGCCAAAGTGTTACATTATAAACGGAAGACTTAACTGATTTCAATAGCTATTTTTCCATTCAAAGAATTGAATTAGACAAAACTGAAACATTGCATAAATCATTTGCAATCCATTTCCATTCAATGAGAAGAAAATGTTGCTTCCTGATTAACTGCCGGCAAATATAAAAAGAAGTCTGGAAATGGCTGCAGTAGGAGAAACCAATGTTGGCCATTTTTGATATATAATAAATTACTTGTGCCTCAGAAGAAAAAACACAATGAACACTGTGGCTTTTGGTAGCGTTAACCCCTCAAGACAATTCTGGGAGGTAATAATAATATGAAACCAAGTTGAAGACAGACTTTGGCTAAGGGATTTTAAATTGAACCAGACAACATTTCAAATGTTGTGTAATGTGACACTGGTTTGTCTATTAATGTCATTAGGACTCTCATTTTTGTTGTCAGATGATCTGTTAAAACAAAATCTTAATTGATGCACATGCTAGGATTTGTTTGATAATTGTGATGCCGTCATAGTTTATTAAAAGAAATTATCCTACGCAGTTATGTTCATACGTGTTTTTTTGTTTTGTTTTTTATTTTAACTGACTTTTCTGACAAAGTGCGCATGAAATTGCTTTTGATTAACTGGCAAACCCTACCCTTTGTCATAACAAAAGCAACTAAAGTTTTGGGTGTTTTTCTGTCTATATTGTTTATTACTGCTGGATACTGCAATGAAACATACAGTTGAAGTTAGAATTATTAGCCCCCCTTTAAATTTGTTTTCTTTTTTTAATATTTTCCAAATGATGTTTAACAGAGCAGGAAATTTTCACTGTATGTCTGATAATATTTTTTCTTCTGGAGAAAGTATTATTTGTTTTATTTCGGCAAGAATAAAAGCAGTTTTTTATTTAAAAAAAATATTTTTAGGTCAGAAGTATTTAAAAAGTAAGTAAGCTCCTTTAAGCTATATATTTTTTCTGATAGTCTACAGAACAAACCATCATTATGCAATAACTCGCCTAATTACCCTAACCTGTCTAGTTAACCCAATTAACCCAGTTAAGCTTTTAAATTGCTATTTAAGCTGTATAGAAGTGTCTTGAAAAATATCTAGTAAAATATTATTTACTGTCATCTTGGCAAACATAAAACAAATCAGTTATTAACAATGAGTTATTAAAACTATTATGTTTAGAAATGTGTTGAAGAAATCTTCTCTCTGTTAAACATATATTGGAGAAAAAAATAAACAGAAGGCCTAATATTTCTTCAACTGTAAGTTATGGCTATGCAGAAACAGGCAGATTTGCAAAATATATGCACAAAAACTTGATTTTTTCTCTGAGTTTGCTTGTTTAAGTTTGTTACAAGAGTGAAAGTATGGTTACAGTCTGAGTACTGTAAAGTCTGTGTTCTAAATATAGGAATAGTTTGATTGGGCGGCTGCAGTCTAATGTGCTTTCAGCCACACCCCCTCACATCTTGAGAATGTACTGTAGGGTCAATTCCAAACTCATCTCATCTCATTTCATCTCATCTCCTCTCCTTTCTTCCAGACTACTGATTTATTTGAAATGATTGAGAAAATGCAGGTAATGTGTCTCTTTTACTTTTCTCTTTTTCCCCTCTCCCCTATCCCTTTCATCTCTTATGTAGATTTTTTTTCCATTAACCCCAGATTTAGTATTAACTGGAAACATAGTGTAGATGCACTTGCATGTCTTTTTGCTGTAGTTGAATATTATGAATATTATCCTTATAAATAATGAAGATACTTATTCATTATAAACCTTATGGATGATATGGCAGTACACTAACTGTATTTATTTACATGTGAATACATTTGTTTATCTGGGCAGTAATTTTTTTTTTTTTTTTTTGCAAAGCATTAAGCAAATAATTGTTTAGAAAAAGGTTTATAAATTATTTAATTTATGCATTGATATACAAATATATCTATTTTTGGCAAGTAACACACTGAATTACGCTTGATATTTTAATGTAAAATATATATATATATAAAACATGTTTATTCAAAGTATATATATATATATATATATATATATATATATATATATATATATATATATATATATATATATATATAATTGCAAAATAAACATTAACATTATAATTTGGGTACATTTTATATTTATTTATTTAAATATTTACATAACTTTTTGCAATTATTACAGATCGTATGAATGTAGATAGCTGTTTAATTAGCAATATTTACCAATCATTTATTAATAAATAATAATGATAATAATTACTTGAAGTTAAAATTTAAGATTACATTTGATTTCTAATGTAACACAAATGTAAAAAAATCTTTTTATTTTAAATATTCAGTTTCCAAAAAGTACAATGAGAACATGATTTGTCTTGAAAACAAATGAATCATTATCTTTAGCACTCCATTACAAGAAGATCCTGTTGTTAGGTACACACAGACATATTGATCTAAGTCATTTGATATCACTTTTGTTATCTCTAACTTTGCAAAGACAGATGTCTAAGCAGAAGCTGCAATAAATGGAGCATAATGCCTGCGAGAGCAGCGTGACATTGATATTGGATCTGATTTACTATTGGGTTGCAGCTGGGGGACTTCTGCAAATGAAAAGCACAGCTAGATGTATAGAATTTTTTTAATGACAAATGTGATGGTATGTATATCACAGCTGATCTACCATGAAGATCCCTTGCTGGAATCCATCATCAAACTGATATTCAATCTTCATTTCTGTAGAATCATATATAGCCTGAAATAACTGTATTGGATTATATAGGAACTCTTTAGGTTTTTTTTTTTTTTTTGTTTGATTATTTTAGCTAGCAGCAGGATGCAATATCTGGTATAATGGCTTTAAATAGCCTTGTAAATATTTGAATGTTTTCTGCCTGGACGCTTTTAGTCGCTCTTTGATCTTATGTTTAACAGTCTGGCATATTCTTAAAACCTGATTAAAGAGAATACAAGAGAACAGCTTATTGTCTAAAACCCTTCTGAAGGCTGATGGCTCTGTCTGTCTAATAGAATATGTTCTTTCTGTTATTGTTTGAGTGCATGTGAACTTTCTTTTAAAAAGATTTAATGTTCTCTCATAATCATTTTATGAATGTCCCATTATGCTGTTTAAGTTCTTCATCCATTTTTCTTCTCTGGCTGATGCCTGTTTACTTGCTATTGATGTTTAGTCTTGTAAAAGAATTTGTCTTTTTTATTTTGACTAGAGTTTGGTGAAAAAAATGTTTGCTTTTAAAGTGAAATTAGTCAATTTAAAATGAATAACTACACACTTAAAATAATGGCATCAATGATCCCATGAGGAAATTTACTTTAGAATGTTTTAATTTCACAAAAAGGTCTTTGCAGTACAGAAATCTTTTTTCGATTATTAAATGATTCTTCATACTTTGAAAATAAAGTTCACTAAAATGTTTTACTGGGAAAACTCTTTTGGTACTTTGTGGTACAGTACCTTTGTTTTTAAGAGTGTAACTGTTCACAACATAATATATTAACTTTTGCTATGTTCAAGTATTTTAATATTTTCTAAAATCTATTACACTACATTTATATATTAATTTAAATTTATTGGCGCCCATTGTCAAGCTGAATTGTGGATGTTAAGAAAGTAAGACTCATTTTTATGCTATAAATAAACAAATAAAGTAAATATATCTAAATATCTATGTATAGAAAAATTTACTTTTAATGTGAGAACATTTCTTGTAAAAATTGTATTGACAATACACCCACTTTAAATATAAATTAGTTACAGTCATTTTAACACATTTACTGTGCTTTATTTTTTGACATTTGTTTTACTAAATAGAAGTTTGATACATTGTAAAAAAGATTTGTGCTGCCTTAAATGTTTTAGTTAAATCTAATTAACTTTTCTAGTCATCTCAACTCATCTCATCAGTCAAACTGAATAAAATTATTAGGTTATACTTTGTATAACTTTAAAAATGTTGTTGAAACCTTTAAATATTTGTTGTCTTGACTTTTTGTCATCATTTTTTTAGAGTGTATGTTTGATTTGTTACTCTGATTGTAGCTCATACACAGTTGAAGTCATAATTATTATTTTAAATGATTATTATTCCCAAATTTAACACAAATTTTCACAGTATGTCTGATATTTTTTCTTCTGGAGAGAGTCCTATTTGTTTTATTTCGGCTAGAATAAAAGCAGTTTTTATTTTTATTTTTAAACAATTTTAAGGTCAGAATTATTAGCTCCTTTAAGCTATATATGTTTTTGATAGTCTAAAGAACAAACCATTATTATACAATAACTTTCCTAATTTCACTAACATGCCTAGTTAACCTAATTAACCATAGTTAAGCCTTTAAATGTCACTTATAGCTGTATAGAAGTGTCTTGAAAAATATCTAGTAAAATATTATTTACTGTCATCATGGCAAAGATAAAATAAATCAGTTATTAGAAATAAGTTATTAAAACTATTATGTTTAGAAATATGTTGAATAATTCTGACTTCAACTGTATCTACTTAATTTATATAGTAATAATGCATCTTAAAAATTACACTTCTCCATTAAGAATGATAAAAATGAATTACCATGATAATTGAAATACTAAGCAACTCTACTTCTTAACAGTTATTTAAGCCACATGGCTGAATTATTAGAGCTTTAGAGAATAAGATTGAAATTCAGTGATTTCTTCAAGTAATGATATTTCCATTTATCCATAGTGTCTCATTTTCAAGATGTACCACTTTAAAGCAGAATTTCCTGCAACTGCATTTTTTTCTTCCCTTAAAAGGCACACAAGTCTAATCAGATTCCTTTTTCCTCAATAGATCTAACCTAAGTGTTATTTTTGCTTTCACACGTGGTCTGACAGGCCTGACAGATCGTCTCTTTTTATCTTTCAGAGCAACAGAATGGACGAGCAGCGATGCACTTTTCCTCCTCCTCTCAAAGTAGGTTCACCTCATGGCTCCCTTTTGTCCCTTTACACTCACAAAAATACAAAACACGTATTGTCTGAGGGCCACGAACTGCTGTTTTTATCTGCCGGCAGACAGCTTCAAATAGAAGAGCTGGTTATCAGTCAAGCTGCTGCGTCTAGTTTTTCAAAGACATCCCTTGCCCACTTTCCTTCTCACTAATGGAACTGCAATCAAATAAGATTAGCTGGTGCTGAGCAATATTTTCTGGCCTGAAGCCACAAAGCCTATATAAAGAGTCAAACTTGCCACAATGCAAACAGTTCCTGAGTTAGTTCTCTTAAATAAACCAGCAGATGAGCAAGCAGAATGTTTTTGTCTGTGTGTCAGTGAAGTTACACTGCAGGTAATTAGGGTAAAGTTTATTTATTAATGATCACCATATTTTCACAAATGGAGAACATTTTTGGGCACATTCTACAATAAGTATCCATTAGTTAATGTTAATGTTTGTACAAACTAAGAATGAAAAATAATTGTACAGTATATATTAATCAAAGTTAATGTGAACTTTATAATTAAAAGAAAATTGTGCTTGTTAAGATTTATGTTTGGCATACTCAATCCTCATTGATCAGTCACAAAGTTCAAAGGTATGTTATTCTGAGATAACAACTTTATTCATTCATTTATTTTCTTTTTGTTTTAGTGCCTTTTTTTAATCTGGGGTCGCCACAGCGGTATGATCCACTAACTTATCCAACATATGTTTTACACAGCAGATGCCCTTCCAGCTGCAAACCATTACTGGGAAACATCCATACATTCTCATTCACACACATACACTACGGACAATTTAGCTTACCCAATTTACCTATACCACATGTCTTTGGACTTGTGGGGAAAACCAGAGCACCTGGCGGAAACCCACGCAAACATGGGGAAAACATATAAAACTCCACACACAAACGGCAAGTGACCCAGCCAGGGCACAAACCAGTGACCTTCTTGCTGTGAGGCGATTGTGCTACCCACTGCGCCACCATGCTGTCAGATAACAACTTATAAAAATCAATTATACTTAAAATTATGGTTATATATATACACATTCAAATGTTTCTGGTTGTCTATCGTGCCATTTTTTGGACAGTTTTTGACTGATGCCATTTTGTAAACAAATGCTTTATAGGTTAATGTACGCTCCATGCCCTCCACATCACATCGGGCTGCCGATAAGCCTGTAAGGCTGTATCCTACAAGTAATCACCTCCTAGAGGCTTTGTTCCTAACTTAATGCACTGTGATTTAGCATGTGCTAATAATGAACTAATGTATTTTCATTCATTAACAAAAACAAAGATTAATAAATACTGTAAAAAAATGTGTTATTCAGTGTTCGTTCACTTTAGTAATTACATTAACATTAACTTATTGAACCTTATTGTAAAGTGTTACTTTTTTGCTTAGGTTTTCTAAAATGTTGTTTAAATATACAAAATATTGATTAAATATGCACTAATTTGCATATTTTTAGCACAAAGATCTTTACACTTTAAATTTAAAGAAAGGGTAACATTTCTTGTTTTTTTTTTTTTTTTTTTTTGCTTTTTCTGACATATTAGTCAAAGGTTTTTACTAAGGGTGTTATAAGTATGCACTGCAAAACCCCATAAGTTAAGGTAAATCACACCATTTGAGGAAAACGATTGCAACAAACTATTTAACATAAGTTTAAAAACTAATGAGTACTGTGAACTTGATTCATTTGAGTAAATGAAGCCATTTGAGCACAGTAAAACCCAATAAATAAAAAGAACTCAAACCAACTGAGTACTGTAAAACCGAATAAATTAAGTCAACTCAAATTGTTTGAGGAAACCGATTGCTACAAACCATTTAAGTTAAAAAGAGAATCTATATTTCTGTGAACATTTAAGTTGAAGTAATGATCTATTTAATTAACTTATTACCTTCAACACTGAGTTCTAAACTCTTTTAAAATGAGTAGAAATAACTTCAGTAAATTTTGAGTTAACTACACTCATTTAATTTAAAGTTGACTGTTGGGTTTTGCAGTGTATCTTTCATCACCCCATTATACAGAAAATGCTACAAAAAGCAACTGTAATTTAAATCTACAGACACAATTAGTACAGTACGATAACAGAAACGCTTGAAAGTGTATTTATTTTAAACCACACAAAATGCACATGAACACACATGTATAACCAAAGCATATTTTGCCTGCAGTGTCTCACCTTAATGTATTTTGCAACCAGATGAATCCACTGCATAATTAATATTTTCTTTGCAGACTGAGGAAGACTACATCCCATACCCCAGCGTCCATGAGGTAAACCAGTTCAGAATAAAGAGCTGTCAGAAACTGTTATTGCAATCAATATCTCACTGGAGTTTATTGTGCACAACCGTAATTGTTTTCCTTCATGTCTCTCTCAGGTTCTTGGCAGAAAGAGTCCATTTCCCTTGATTTTGCTGCCCCAGTTTGGGGGTTATTGGATTGAAGGGACCAATCATGAGCTGAGCAATGGGAATGACCCGGAGCAATTCGTGTCTCCCACCTCACGCTACAAATTGGAGTGCAACACCACCGCTAAGATCTACAGGAAACATTTTCTGGGCAAAGTAAGCATTTGCTTTAAGTAATAGATTGATTGGAATGGGTAGATTTGGTTTGTTTTTTTGGGTCACACTTTAGTTTATGGTGCAATTATTGCCATTAATAAACCATTAACTATGACTTTTGCCTTATACTCCTAATTTGCTTCTTATTAGTAGGCATTAATGTAGAAGTTGGGTTTAGGTATTGGGTAGAATTAGGGCTGTAGAATAAGATCAGCTGCTCTTCAGGCGATCAGCCTTCAGCAGTGACATTTGTGTTAAGCTGAACTGAAATAAACCATACTGAACTTCAAAAGTGACATTTATATTAAACTGAACTGAATCCATTTTAATTTAACTTGAACATTATTTTGCAGCTTAATATGCTGGAATGTTCCACCATCTGAAATATTGTTTTAGCTTTTTTATTCTCTTTCCTTCAACTATGTCAAGCTGCTTTGGCACTATCACAGTCTTTAGTACCTATAGAGCACTTCAAACAACCAGCTTTGTTATTATGACCCTTTGTCTTATATAATAACAACATAGTGGTCAGTCTTGGCTGTTTCCTGTAGCCCACAATCACACCAGTGTGGTTATAATGCTGATGCATCGTTAATCAGCTGCTAAATTCAAATCTGCCCTCCTGCAAAAACTGCAACCAAGCCTGGGTAAAAAACACAACCACATCACTTGTCAAACCTCACCACTTATCATTACTTTCAATAAAATAATGTTTGCTTAGGTTGATTTTTTAATACACAGCAAAAAAACATTGTACCTTGTAAAATGCATACTGATGACCATGAGAAACAGCAATAATAGTCATGTTACACATACTCTTAACATATATTATTAACAACAGATACACCCTGTTTAGGTAACTAAAATATTTACTGGAGTCTTCTTCCAGTTAAAAAGCCACCTACTTTTACAGTATGTGGTTTAGGAGAAGTTGAAGAATTAATGCGTTGTAAATCCAGCAGCTCTAATCTCCATTGCAGTGCATGGGGCTGCAGCATGTCATATCATAAACCAAACGCGTCACTATAGAAATATAAAAGTGATGCATTCGAAATAACTCACAATTTGGAGTTAGCTGAATAATTGAAAGTGTACATGTGAAAGGGTTAAATAAGCTATGGCATTCTAAGCAAAGTATTGTTGTGGGGTGGTAGGCACGCTCTTTTGCTCACACTGGTCATGTACAGAACTGGAGAATTTATTATCACATGAAAGTAAGCTTTTTGTAAAAGATTTTTTAAATTTTTATTTGACCCATCCCTGCAGGCACAGGACATCAAGATGATGTCATATTGACGTTGTACCCCAACGCACATTGGAGTTTGTTTGAAAATTAAAATCGGGTTGACGTCAGAACCCAAAGTCAGGCCAACGTCAATGTCTAACGTTCAACCTAAAATCAACCAAATATCAACTGTCAATGTTACACCTTTATGGTACCACTATGACCTTGATCAAATGTTGGATTTTGGTAACTCTCCAACACGACCTAAAATCAGCCAAATATTAACATAATTTGACATCGTTATTGGACGTCAAAATAATGTTGCCCTTAGACGCTGGCTAGACATTGAATTTTGGTCACTGGACGTCATGACCTATATCTAACCTAATATTAACGTGTTTTGATGTGTGCCTGCTGGGATGCTTGAGCAGGAGTGTAAACAACTCTGAATGCATGAAATAGCGTTCAACCACCCCTTTAATTGGGATTTCTTGTTTGGCACAATTATTGCTGAGCAAGTGCAAAAGAGAGAAATTTCCCTAATGAATATATCAACAACAAGTTGTTGAGTTAATTTCCATACACAACATTTAATTGTCAGCAAACAAAGACTTAAATTTAGTTTTGCTCATTGCATGAATCATAACTACAGAAGGTCTCTCAAAACCAGCATGGAAAAGCATTTAAAAAGCTAAACGTTCATAATGGATCCATCAGCCCATCCGTTTGAATAAGTTTTAATAATGCAATTGTTAACAAATGTAACCCAATTACAGACCAATGCGACACCACAGCAGCCAGACATAATGAAGATATATTAGGCTTTCGCTTCAATGGGCTTAATGTATTCACATCTAATAACCATTATAAATTAGACTAATGTGCATAAAGAAGTGGTCGGTTAGCCCTTAGATCTGTGGGGGAGTGTTGGGAATGAAAACTGAAATGAGTTTGCAAGTGTGAAGATGAATGTGCGCTCACAGCTTCGCCTTCTGCTCCTTCATTAGGAACACTTTAATTACTATACAGTGGACAGTGCCCTCGGCCACCTGGTGTTCTCCATGAAATATGATGTTATTGGGGACCAAGAGCATCTCCGGCTCATGCTCAGGTGTGACCTCCTCTCCTCTCTTTTTTCCTTTTTTTGTTCTCCATTCTTTCTAGATGACTTGTTGACTTCCCTCGAATCACTCATTTTCCCCCTGGCCTTGTGTCCTGCCAAAGTCTGTATTGTTCGGCTAATGACAGGCTTAGTATCTGGCACGGTTCCACTACTTTTTCAGCTTTGGCTTTTATTGTGGGCATTAGACAGAATGCACTGATATCTATTCCTTGACAACAACTGTCAATGTTTCCTGGGAACTACAATAAAACCCATTTTTTGATAGATTAAGCAGGCCAAATGTACACGCCACCCTCATTTCCGCATTAGGCACCAGATGGACAATATAGGGCAATGTGTGTGGGTGGAGGGAAGGCAGCAGGATGTTCCTGTTATCAAATCCATGTGACACATTTAACGATGCCACAATGACTATGAACTGAAGTCCGGAGCTGTTAATAAGTGTTACTGTGTTGTGTTGCACTATAATTTCATTAGAAACTGTGTTTGCAAGCTGCCAGACATGAGGATTAATTCATATTTTGAATGCATCAATGAAATTGATTAATGAAAAAGCAAAGCAAAACTGAAGCAAGAGTAATGTTTTAAGATAATATATATATATATATATATATATAGGTTGATGCAAGTTTATCAGAACATTTAATCATTCTTTTTCTTTTGCTTTATAAAACTTACAGTACTATATTATATTGCATGTCTAATAAAAAGACAAGCTATTTTTAATGGGACAGGAAGATTCATTCAAAGGTGCAGTTGGTGATCTGCATAAACGTTAGCATATCACTTTCAAACACAGTTCCTTCTCTGCGGTCCAAAGCTACGCTTACAGATATTATGAACGTGCACCTTAAAGATGACAGTTGACAACCCACTAGATCATGTCATTCACTAGTAAGAAAACTTTATAGTACTTTATAATACTACAATTCTGAACAAGAAACTGCATTATATCTAGCAGGCTGTCAGTTATGTAGCAAGCAAAACTTGTCATAATGTGCAATAATTCATGCATGCAAGGATCGCTAGTTTTAGTCTCTTACGCTGCTTAGTGCTTGACCAGCAGAATTCAGGAATTACATTTATTACTAAGCCATACTTGCATGCTATTACCGAATGAATATTCAAAGTAGCATGGTAAACAATATAGTGAGCACATCACAGGTTGTCATTGTCGAAAAATGAGCCAATGTGATGTTAAAATAAAACCAACTTCACCTCAGTAAAGCAGACTAGGCGGAATAGAATCTACATTATTGATGCTGTAAAAGGCCCTTATGAAATTGAAAATAGTCACATCAATCATTCGCTGGAAGATTTCAGTGGCTGAACAACACTTCTGTGCATATAGCTCGTTCGTAAAACAAAAAAATCTACATATGATTTGTGTGACTAAAATAGTTTTAAAGCATAACATTATCAGTCTAAAAGAAATACTTCAGCCATGGTGTCATCCATCCTCCAGCATGCAAACGGAACTCCAATATCGATTCAGGATTTTAAAAAGTTTGATTCAGCATTTGATTTTCGTGATTGCGCGCACACATGCACATGGAAGATCTGCATGAACGGCAGCACAGATGTACAAATCTGCATTTCGTCACCTTGGAATTATAAGGTTCTAGCTCCGTTCTGAATGATTTTGAGATATTGAGCTTCAAAGTTTTTGCATTCCATAGCAAACAGTATGTGTGTAACATTTGGTTTTTAAATAAAACGTTTTAAAATGTAAACAACTTAAAAAATATCCCATAATGTAAATAAGTTGTCAAATATTAAGAATATGTCAATAATTCAATTTTGACAGAAAAATGTCAGATCGAACCTTATAATTCTAAGGTGACAATTTGTTGACAGACAGTTTGGGTTACTTATGGGAATTATGGGAATTGTCGGCCCAACAAATTTTGACTGGATGAACATTTTTTGGTCTTATGCCTTACCCAGAAATTAAATTTGTTATTGCAGTAAGAAAAATACTTTGGTAATTTTTGGCACCTTTGTTTCTAAGAGGGTAATTGTTTACAATATAATATATTAACTTTAGCTATGTTCAATTATTTAAATATTTTTAAAACCATTACATCACATTTATATATGAATTTAAATTTATTGGAGCTCAATGTCAAGCTGAATTGTGGATGTTAAGAAAGTAATGTAATTCTTTTTTTTACAATTGTTTATAGGTATGTTTTTGTGCCAATTATGTACTTAAAACATAATTGTTTTCCTAAAAAAGTTCTTCTGTACAGTTCTGTAGTCTGCCATTGATGTTTTAGTTGTCAAGTGCTTGCACAATGTGCATGACTCCATATTTACTAAACTATGCTTTTGTAGTTTTTATGGTATCATTTTCAACAAAATATTAAACATTGCCATGTAAAAAATGCCAAGATGCATACAAGCTT